TATATATATATATATATAACATTATCTTCTATTACTCCAAGTTATTTAACACTATAAAGCAACATTACAAAGATTAAGCTTGCTCATGATTTGCTTTACAGCCGCGTGTGCCGGTTTACACTGCACCCCGATTTTATATTTAAAATCGTATTATGAAAAAACTATAAAACAAAATAATATAAATAAAACTGATTTAGGAAACTACGTGCATTTAAAACGACGAAATATTATTAATAATGTAGTCATTATTATTTACATTTCGCAATTTGCAAAAGAAAATCGTAAGAATTTTATTTTCGCATTCATAGAATTCGTTTTTAGCTAATTTCGTATAGAAGCAAGTATCCACAAATATCCGAATTATACGTTTGTACTTCTTTAATTAGTTAAAAAAATCATGATTTTATTAGTATTAATAAAGTGCAATAATTTCTGAGAAATAAGAGGATGTCACTTTAGGAAACTCTTTTCAATATCAGCGACTTTCCTCTACTTATATGATGACTTATGTTCTACTTGAGCAAGTACAGATGCATATTTTACAATTAGTTATTGATTCCATAATTAATTGATTATTGTCGCAATAATTCATTATTCAAGCAATGATACATAGTCTTGTTACATCATAATTTAGTGGCTCTTATATTTGTTACATATTAGTTTAAAAATTCATCTCGCGGGCGAAAAATCCGACTCAAACATTTTTCATGACGCGTCAGCGTCGCACACAATCGCTTTCTTTCTTATTGTCAGTATTGTAATTTCAGCATCGAGATTTGCTTCCATACGCCCGAAGAGTCAAGGGAGCTTCGGAGTTTCAACTTCAACTTACTTTCTCACCAAGGGTGTAACACCAAGGGCGAAGATGTAATGGCTGTGTGATCGTCACTAGGTATGTGCATGCATGTCATGATTTTTTAAAACTAAACAAAAAAGTCTTTATATATTAAAAAATATAATATATATTTAAAATTTAAATCAAATATCTCAACCTAAATATGAATCATTACTGTATCTTAAATGACAAAACATTCTTACGATGTTATCGACGTTATTGATATTTGATTTCTATCCAAACTTGAAAAAGTTTTAACTTTTTATGATTTTTAAGTTATTTTGATATGTCTAACAAAGGTCGAAGCTTTTGAAAAGCCTATAAGTTACAAAAAAGCATTAAAAGGAATTAATATTTTTAAATAATATGTTTAAATTTTTTTTAATTTCTTCGAATTGTGTTTAAAAATTTTTTTTTATTAACTATAAAAATTATATTGCACTTAAGTATTTGAATCATGATTCATGATCATAATTAGATGGTAAATATTTTTGAAATGTTTAAGAATTCTTTTAAGTAAAAATTTTCTGATCTATATTAGAATATAAATATATTTATGTTATTAAAATATAAAATATATATTTAACATATATATTTAATATATTTTTATTATTCATATATTTTCTTTATTATTAATCTAATTAATATTTATATATTAATTATTAATTATTATAGATTAAATTAAAACGTTTTATTTTTGCTTATTTATGAGAACAATTTGAACTGCAAAAGATTTAGATAGGATTATGTAATGATTTTTTAATGTTTCGAATAATTCTAAGAGAAGACACATCTAAATAAAACAATCGGTCACATTTGTAGGGTATTCCAAATAATTTGACACGTTTGCGCAACTGTTTGAGCACATCCAGATTTTATTTAACCATGTGCAACAATTTCTGATAGGCATATTGATTCGCAGCTATATCAAAAGACTAGAAACCAGTCTCACTCGCGTGTTCAACTCTCAGACTCATACTCGGAAAACATAACACGCTTGGGGAATTTTATGAAAACTGAGGGCACTCTGATTTAACTGAGTTCCACAGTGTCCGACCGCAATTCAACTGACGTCAATCAAACGTAAAAAAAAAGAGAAGTGTTAAATTACAGACTTGATTGCTTAGAGATTGAAATCGTTTGATTTGAATACGTACGGAATAATGCAATTTATACGGAAATATAAATGAATTTTGTTGCGAGAAACATAATTTATGTACTTGCCGAAGGGTCAATAGTTTGACAAAACTTGAACTGCGGAAATAATCGGTGGACTCATGATCATGCTTGCGTCACATTACGTATGTTGCATGCACGATTTAATCTTATCATTGCCTTCGTTTATGAGACATTGATTTAACATAAATGTATCACACTCGCTATGTGTCTACGATCTTTACATATACGTAAAGATCTTACATACATACGTAATGAGATTGAAGGATAAATACTTCCGGACTTACGCGACTCTTCCCAAGTCAGCCTCAAATTCCTTAAAAGAAAAATCTTGTAGGAAATACATAATTTTTATTCATTCACGTATGAAATTGGAAATGCGCTCTGTTAAAAAATTTTTCACTTATAAAATTTAAACTTGTTGAAGTTCTTTATGTACACAATTTGAAACTCATTAAATTTACTTACTTATGAGATTCTTTTATCTCATGATTCTCATGAAATTCAAAATTTTTAATTTATTACATGATTTAAAATATTTTTCAAATATATCTACTTAAATATCTTTTTTATTCATGAAATTTATGAAACATTTTGAACTTATTTATTTATTTAATTAAAAACTTTAAGGATTTAATTAAAATTAATAATTCGATTTTAAAGTAAAGTAATTTTTTCGTGTCTGTTGCGCATCTCACTCATTC